TTCCCAAGCGGTGACTTAATTATTCCGAACTTTCTTTTCTTTTTTTCTTTTCTTTTTTTCTTTTCGTCCTGGGGGGAAAAATCATTCGTTGACGTCATGGTGAAGTGCAGTGGATTCGGGCAAATTTATGTATTCCTGTCTTTGGGGGGGGGGGGGGAGGGGAAGGAGGGAGGATGGGAGGAAGGAGGGAAGGAGGAGGAGAGGGAGGGAGGGAAGAAGGAAGGGAAGGAAGGGAGGAGGGAGGAAAGGAGGAAAGGAGAGGAAGGAAGGAAGGAGGAAAGAGAGAGAGAGAATGAAAGAGAGACAGACAGACAGAGACAGAGAGAAAGAACATCTTAGAAAATATAACACATACAACCGGAAATAAACACACTTACAAGAAAGCTCACAGACAAGCCGCCATGATGGCCGAAAACCCTCCGTCTTTAGCCAACACAAATAACACAGGTTTTGCATCCTGTCTCAGCCGTTGCCTTTTATATGATCCTGATCGGCCGAGTAAACATTGTATCTTCCTTTAAGTAGAATATAAGTGTTGGGAAGTGAAGTGGAAGGGTTAGAGAGAAGACGAAAAGAAAGAAGAGAGAAGGCGAGAGAAGGATGAACAGGTAAAAAGGGTAAATGAGATAAAGTGGAGGAGGGCTGGGTAATGTGTTTGTATCTGTAATTGTAGGCATTATCTATTTGTCTATCTATTCATCTATTAATCTATCTATCTATCCATCTACTTATCTATCTATCTATCCATCTACTTATCTATCTACTAATCTAATCTATCTTCTATCTATCTATCTATCTATCTATCCAGTCATCTATCTATCTATCTATCTATCCAGTCATCTATCTATCTATCTATCTATCCAGTCATCTATCTATCTATCTATCCATCCTACCTATCTATCTATTTATCCTAATCTATCTATCTATCTATCTATTTGTATATATAAAGATACATGTGTATCAACCCGGTTCCCCACGTTGGATATATTGGTCCTTTTACAAACGTCTAATACTTTTTTATTTATTTATTCATTTTTCTCTCTCATGGGCTCGATCCGTAGACTGCCCAGCGGCCTTTGATATCTGGCCAAAACCCCTTCATCTCTGGCCAAAACCCCTTGGTCTGTGGCCAAAACCCCTTCATCTGTGGCCAGAACCTTTTATCTCTGTCCCAAACCCCTTCATCTCTGGCCAAAACCCCTTGGTCTGTGGCCAAAAAATCCTTCATCTCTGCCAAACTTGGTCTGTGGCCAAAACCCCTTCATCTCTGGCCAAAACCCCTTGGTCTGTGGCCAAAACCCCTTCCTGTGGGCCAAACCTTTTGGTCTGTCCCAAACCCCTTCATCTTGGCCAAAACCCTTGGTCTGTGGCCAAAACCCTTCATCTCTGGCCAAAACCCCCTTGGTCTTGTGGGCCAAAACCCCTTGGTCTGTGGCCAAAACCTTGGTCTGTGGCCAAAACCCTTTCATCTCTCTGGCCAAAACCCCTTGGTCTGTGGCCAAAACCCTTCTTGGCAAAACCCCTTCTGGGCCAAAGCCCCTTAAATCATCTCTGGCCAAAACCTTGGTCCTGTGGCCAAAACCCCTTCTGTGGCCAAAACCCCTTGGTCTGTGGCCAAAACCCCTTCATCTGTGGCCAAAACCCTCTGGGCCAAACCCCCCTTGGTCTGTGGCCAAAACCCTTGGTTGGTCTGTGAAAACCCTTTCTGTGCCAAAACCCTTTCATCTCTGGCCAAAACCCCTTGGTCTGTGGCCAAACCCCTTTCTCTCTGGCCAAAACCCTTGGTCTGTGGCCAAAAGCCCCTTCATCTCTGGCCAAAACCCCTTGGTCTGTGGCCAAAACCCCTTCATCTCTGGCCAAACCCCTTGGTCTGTGGCCAAAACCCCTTCATCTCTGGCCAAAACCCCCTGGTCTGTGGCCAAAACCCCTTGGTCTGTGGCCAAAACCCCTTGGTCTGTGGCCAAAACCCCTTCATCTCTGGCCAAAACCCCTTGGTCTGTGGCCAAAGCCCAAAGCCCCTTCATCTCTGGCCAAAACCCCTTGGTCTGTGGCCAAAACCCCGCTCTGGCCAAAGCCCTTGGTCTGTGGCCAAAATTCATCTGTGGCCAAAATCTCTGTCCCAAACCCCTTCATCTTGGCCAAACCCCTGTGGCCAAAGCCCCTTCATCTCTGGCCAAAACCCCTTGGTCTGTGGCCAAAACCCCTTGGTCTGTGGCCAAAGCCCCTTCATCTCTGGCCAAAACCCCTTGGTCTGTGGCCAAAACCCTTGGGCCAAAACCCCTTGTCTGTGGCCAAAGCCCCTTTCATCTGTGGCCAAAACCCTCCCAAACCCTTCATCTCTGGCCAAAACCCCTTGGTCTGTGGCCAAAGCCCCTTCATCTCTGGCCAAAACCCTTGGTCTTGGCCAAAACCCCTTCATCTCTGGCCAAAACCCCTTGGTCTGTGGCCAAAGCCCCTTCATCTGTGGCCAGAACCTTTTATCTCTGTCCCAAACCCCTTCATCTCTGGCCAAAACCCCTTGGTCCTGGCCAAAACCCCTTCATCTCTGGCCAAAACCCCTTGGTCTGTGGCCAAAACCCCTTCATCTCTGGCCAAAACCCTTCATCTCTGGCCCAAAACCCCTTGTCTGTGGCCAAAGCCCCTTCATCTCTGGCCAAAACCCCTTGGTCAAAACCCCTTCATCTCTTGGCCAAAACCCCTTTCATCTCTGGCCAAAACCCCTCAAAAACCCCTTCATCTCTGGCCAAAACCCTTCTGTGGCCGGCCAAAACCCCTTGGTCTGTGGCCAAAGCCCCTTCATCTCTGGCCAAAGCCCCTTCATCTCTGGCCAAAACCCCTTCATCTCTGCCAAAACCCCTTGGTCTGTGGCCAAAAAAACCCCTTCATCTCTGGCCAAAAAAACCCCTTTCAATCTCTGGCCAAAACCCTTGGTCTGTGGCCAAAGCCCCTTCATCTGCCAAAAACCCCTTGGTCTGTGGCCAAAGCCCCTTCATCTCTGGCCAAACCTCTCTGGCCCAAACCCCTTCTCATCTCTGGCCAAAACCCCTTGGTCTGTGGCCAAAAACCCCTTGGCCCCAAACCCCTTCATCTCTGGCCAAAACCCTTGGTCTGTGGCCAAACCCCTTGGTCTGTGGCCAAAACCCCTTCATCTCTGGCCAAAGCCCCTTCATCTCTGGCCAAAACCCCTTCATCTCTGCCAAAACCCCTTCTGTCCAAACCCCTTGTCTGTGCCAAAACCCCTTGGTCTGTGGCCAAAACCCCTTCTTGGTCTTGCCAAACCCCTGGCCAAAACCCTTGTCTGTGGGCCAAAGGTGGCCAAAGCCCCTTCATCTGTGGCCAGAACCTTTTATCTCTGTCCCAAACCCCTTCATCTCTGGCCAAAACCCCTTGGTCTGTGGCCAAAGCCCCTTCATCTGTGGCCATGTCCCAAAACCCCTCATCTCTGGCCAAAACCCCTTGGTCTGTGGCCAAAACCCCTTCATCTCTGGCCAAAACCCCTTGGTCTGTGGCCAAAACCCCTTTCATCTCTGGCCAAAACCCCTTGGTTCTGTGGCCCAAAACCCCTTCATCTCTGGCCAAAACCCCTTGGTCTGTGGCCAAACCCCCTTCATCTCTGGCCAAAACCCCTTGGTCTGTGGCCAAAGCCCCTTCATCTGTGGCCAGAACATCTCTGTCCCAAACCCCTTCATCTCTGGCCAAAACCCCTTGGTCTGTGGCCAAAGCCCCTTCATCTGTGGCCAGAACCTTTTATCTCTGTCCCAAACCCCTTCATCTGGCCAAAACCCTTGTCTGTGGCCAAAACCCTTCATCTCTGGCCAAAACCCCCTTGGTCCCAAAACCCCTTCATCTCTGGCCAAAACCCCTTCATCTCTGGCCAAAACCCCTTGGTCTCTGTCCCAAACCCCTTCATCTGTGGCCAAAACCCTTTATCTCCAGTATGGCCTGATAACCGTTTCGGGGCCAGCACCTCCGCGTCCAGCACCTCAACTTTCATTACTCTCCGATTGAGATAAATGTACAGAATCCTTTGTGTCTCGCGAGGCAGGAACTTGGCAGGTTTAGAGTCCGTTAGCTGCTGGGGCAATACCAAATGGGAGATCGAGGTATGAAAGGTCTTTTCTGGCTTTGGTATCGAGTCCTGTGGTATTTGTGAGATGGGGGCAGCATTTCCGTGAGTATTGCTTCGCTTTAGGTGAATGGAATGGGAAAAGTATGGGAATGCTGCTTTTTTTGCATTTTCTACGTATGGAAAACCCGAAAAACATGTAAAAAAAAAAACGTGGACTAACGTAATCTAAAATTCTATCTCAAATAGCCTATCAAACCTAAACAACCTTTTTGTTATTCGCTTCCTCAACTGAATATCCTAGCTCTTACATCCTTATAGTCAGGATGTTACCCAATTATTCGCCCAGAATGTTAAATCGCTGAAAACCGTAGTCAACGCGAGGCAGAATGCACGCGGGTGGAACATCAGCAAAGAGCGGAAGTTGCATTGAGGTGCATGTTAACACTGGCAACCTGTTTCAACGGCGCTGGACTGCTCTCTGCTTGACATAAAGGTCAGCTGGAATCACCCAATGAAAGCAATGATTAATATGTTGCCGAAATCAGCGAATATGTTTCTGTTTCCCCTCTGAAAGACCTATACTTTTGGTTCAGTGAAATGGAATTGATTGAGTAAAATGGTAACTGAAAATTATTTTCCCCTTACTCAGGTGATCTAAAAATGCAATTACAAAGATAAATGACTGATCCACGTACGTAACGGGAAAAGAGAGAGAGAGAGAGAGAGAGAGAGAGAGAGAGAGAGAGAGAGAGAGAGAGTAGCGAGAGAGAGAGAGAGAGAGAAGAGAGATGAGAGAGAGAGAGAAGAGAGACCAGAGAGCAGCCCAAGATAGACAGCCACAGGGACAAGACAGCCAAACAAATCATTTCAGGAGAGGCAGGAAAGACTCAAAACCTCGTCCACTTCCCCCAGCAACCCCGGGCCTACTTACTGGTCGGCGAGGGGTTGATCTGGAACTGCCTCTGGATGAACTCGGTGTAGCTGAAGCGGTACTTCCCGAGCTCGTCGTTGAACTGCTTGAGGCCGGCGCGGATCTTGCCCTGGTACTTCCTCAGCCGGAGCCTCGTGATGGGCATGATGAAGCCCACGTTGAGCGAGTCCTTGGCCATGGACCGGTAGGACACGTCGTAGTCCGTGTCCATGTTGCGGCCGCGGAAGTTGGAGATGGCGTTGCCGTTGGTGCCGTCGCCGTCGTCGGAGTCGGCCAGGCACGCCGGGGGGAAGCGCGACGCCCCCAGCACCAGCGCCACGGCCAGCAGGGGCAGCACGCCCACCTGCCGCCCGCCGGCCTTCTGTCTCCTCTGGCCCCCTCGCCGCCCTCCGCCGCTCCGCCACCACCAGCACCAGCCGCCCTCGCCCATCGTGGAGGCTCGCACCGCCCGCGTCGCCCTCACGATCACCACCAACCGTACGGGCGCGCTGCTCTACCGCCAACCTGGGGGGGACACGGAGGGGGTCAGTTCGGCTGTATTTCCACGGGGGGGGGGGGGAATCAGGTAGGAGGGGGGTCAGTCTCGGCTTTACTTCCACTGGGGGGGGGGGGAAGAGAGAGAGGGGGTCAGGTTGAAGGAGGGGGAGACGGAGGAGGGGGGGGGGGAGGGGAAACAAGGAGAGAAATGGGGGAAAGGTCAAAAGGAAAGGACTAAAAGGGAGAAAGGGTAACTGAAGATAAAAGGATCTGTAAAGAGATTAACTATATAAATATGAGTTCATAAAAGCTAAGCTGCTACCGCTCTCAAACCTACCTGAGGGGAAAAGAAAAAAAAAAAAAACAGGATTAACTCTTAATTCCTTATTAGTAAAAAAAAAAAAAAAAAAAAAAAAAAAAACAGAATTAACTCTTAATTCTTCATTAGCAAGAAAAGAATGCTGCGGGTCGGGGGGGGGATACGGATGAGAACTTTGTATAAATATTATCTGTATAAATTTAGAATAAATACGAAGTTAATGACGATCTTCTGTCAAACCTAAGGGGAAAAAAAGAAATATCAGAGCCAAGATTTTTTTTCTGTTTATTAGGTCATTGCTGTAAGATAAATAATAAGGCTGATAATGATAATAACAGACTAGGACGGATGCAGATAAAGATTAACTCAAAAAATAAATCTAGCTATCTATATTAAATATATAATATATAATATACATATACAAATAAATATACAAATAACATATATACATATGAACATGACATACACATACATACATACATACACACACACACACACACACACACACACACACACACACACACACACACACACACACACACACACACACACACATACATATATATATATACATATACATATATATATATATATATATATATATATATATATATATATATATAATATACAAAAATAAAAATACACACACACACAATATATATATAATATATATATATATATATATATATATATATATATATATATATATATATATATAAAAATATATATAATATATATATATATATATATATTATATATATATATATATATATATATATATATATATATATATATATATATATATATATGATATCATACATGTCCTCGCTCTGACATTCCGTTCCCCCTTTTTTCCCCCAAACTCTGATTCCTAATACAAACTTCTATCATTCTGACCTTGTTTCCCCTCGTTTTCCGCTCTGCGAATTGCTTCCTTTGTTTGCAAAAGAAGTGGGCTCGACTAACGATGATTTTCCCCTTTCATCTTGTTAGGCAAATTTGGTCGTTAAGGGTCGTTTTCGTGCGTTTTCTTTCTCTCTTTCTCTTCGCTTTGTCTTTTTTTTTTTTTTTTAGTTTTCTCTTTATCTCATCATTTCTTTTTCCCTCTTTCTATTTTTTCTCTCTCTTCCTCCTCTCTCTTTCTCTCTTTCACTCTTTCATTCATTCATTCTTTCTTTCTTTCTTTCTTTCTTTCTCTCTCTCTCTCCCTCACCCCCTCTCTCTCCCTCTCACCCCTCCCTTTCTCACCCCTACCTCTCTTTCTCCCTTTCTCACCCCTCCCTCTCTTTCTCCTTCTTTCTCTCCTACTTCCCTTTCCTAGACCACACTCGACTGGGTTTGTACAGCTCGCTCTCACGTCTTTCAAACAATTTGCATGTGTTCTGAACCGGTCCTTTTATGCAGCTTCTTACCCAAACACGTCTGGATACTGTACGTACGTCAGGGGAGGTTTTAAGGAAGTCAGGGGGAGGTTTTAAGGATATCGGGGGGGGGGGGGGGTTTAAGGATGTCATCGCGGGAGGGAGTAAGGACATCAGGGGGATGGTTAGAGGGACGCTTTAAAGAGGTCAGGTGGGTGGGAGGGGGTGTTTTACGGACGTCAGGGGAAAGGTTTTAAGGACGACAGGGGGAGGTTTAAGGAGTCAGGGGGATGGGAGCTTTTACGGAAGTCAGGGGGACGGCAGAGAGAGGGGGGGGAGTTTAAGGAAGTCAGGGGAAGGTTTCACGGACGTCATGGGGTGCCTTGACGTACTTCAGGGGGAGGGGAGCTTTTATGGACGTCAGCGGGGGGGGGGGTGTTAAGGACGCTAGGGGGAGGTTTTACGCAAGGTCTAAGACTTTCGTTTTACGGACATCAGGATGGGTTGAACTTTAACGGACGTCGGGAGCAGGGGGGGGGGTACTCGGGGGGGGGGGCTTTTTCGTACGTCAGGGGAGTGACCTTTTTTCGTACGTCAGGGGGGGGGGGGGGTCGTACGTCAGGGGGGACCTTTTTCGTACGTCAGGGGGGTCAGGCGGAGTTTTTGCGTACATGAGCGTGGGCTTAATAGATTGCCAAAGGGAGCCTCCTTGAACTCACTTTCATATACAGACAATGACGTCAGCAGATTCACATTTTTCCTCAAGTGTTGCTGTGTTAAGTAAAGGCATAAATAGACAGGCATAAATGGACAAATAGAGGGAGAGAGAGAGAGATAGAAAAAGAAAAGAGATATGGAATGATCGAAAGATAGATTAGAGAGAGAGAGAGAGAGAGAGAGAGAGAGAGAGAGAGAGAGAGAGAGAGAGAGAGAGAGAGAGAGAGAGAGAGAGAGAGAGAGAGAGAGAGCCAGAGAGAGTCAGAGAGAGAGAGAGAGAGAGAGAGAGAGAGAGAGAGAGAGAGAAGCTAGTGAGAGCTAGTGAGAGCTAGTGAGAGAGAGAGAGAGCCAGTGAGAGAGAGAGAGTGAGAGAGAGAGAGAGAGAGAGAGAGAGAGAGAGAGAGAGAGAGAGAGAGAGAGAGAGAGAGAGAGAGAGAGAGAGAGAGAGAGAGAGAGAGAGATGATCGAACGGCAGATAGAGTAGAGATAAAGATAGACAAATAGATAGAGAGAGAGAGAGAAAGACAGAGACACAGACAGAGTGACAAACAGGGACAGAGACATAGACAGATAAAGAGAAAGATTAACGACCAGATAAATAGACTGATTGATAGATCTGTGTCGCATAACTGAATTCTCGAAACGCCTTTTAACTAACTGCTTTCGCTTCATCTCGACACAAAATGAGAAATGAGGTACATATTTTACTAGAACTTCGGAAAAGGGTGAGAAGATATAATGCCGGAAGAACCTCCTTAGATTTGGCGTTAGCGGATCGCGAATTTAAGTCCTTGTGAAATGCGGCAGTGAATTCTCTTTTTTCTTTGGCGTTCATTTTATACTACGGCTTTTTTATCTTTATTAGTTTTTCTTTCTTTCTTTCTTTCTTTTAGACGGATAGACATATATTTAGTTTTGAGTACCAACAATGAAACCGTTCTTATTAATGATAAAGTTTATATTAAGTTGATAATCATGATGATGATGATAATGATAATAAAATGATGATCATGATGGAAGGTGATGATGATAATGAGGAGGAGGAGAAGGACGATGACGATAATGACGACGAGATGAAGATGAGGATGATGATGATGATGATGATGATGATATGGAGGATGAGAGGAGAAAAAAACGGCAACCACAGTAATAACAACAAAAAAGATAACACTAAAAAATATAACAAAAGCCACTAACGACAATTAATAACAATAATAATCATAACATAAACAATAAGAATTAGGATGATGATAACATTAACAATAATCCGTTCTATATGGCAGTGCCGCAGAAGAGCTCCCCTTGTGATTAACGCTTAATTGCTGCAAAATGCGTCTGATGCATGCAACGGCTTAGGTGTCAAGCAACGAATTTTCAACAAAATCTATAACGTCATAAAGATCATTCCCTTTAATTAATGCTTTATCCTTTCCCTCGTTATCACTTTTCAATGCATGTTTATATATATATATATATATATATATATATATATATATATATATATATATATATATATATGGGGATTGTTGAAAAACTAGAAAAAAGTGAGTGTGTGTGTGTGTGTGTGTGTGTGTGTGTGTTGTGTGTGTGTGTGTGTGTGTGTGTGTGCTGTGTGTGTGTGTGCTGTGTGGTGTGTGTGAGTGTGAGTGTGTGTGTGTGTGCAAATTTAATAACAACCTTAAAAGTCATGGCAATAACGCAAACATTGATAAACAATTAATATCAACGATAACATAATATCCATGATACTGAATGAATAAAAATGAATAATGAATAAAAAAAAAAGAGGAAAAAGAAAGAAAGAAAAAAAGAAGAATCACGACAAAGGAACGCCACTGCCTCCATCGCAGAAGGAAGAGGAGGAGGAAGAAAGAAAAATAAACAGAGAAGAAAAACAGCGCCACATAAGGCTTGGCGACTGAAGGTACATCCGGGAACCTGGGAGATAAACACAAGGGTCGAGGAAATTGAGCTCTTAAATAGAGGAGCCGGGATGAGGAGGGGAGGGAGGGAGGGAGGGAGGGAGAGTGGCGGGGGTAGAGTGGAGAGTAGGGGGGGGGGGAGGGAGTGGGAAGGGAGGGGAAGAGTGGCGGGTAAGTGGGAGAGTAGGAGGGAGGGAGGGAGTGGGAAGGCAAGGAGAAGATTGGGGTAGAGGGGAGAGTAGGAGGAGGAGTGGGGAGAGAGAGGGAAGGGACAGGAAGGAGAGTGGCGGGTAGAGTGGAGAGTAGGGAGGGAGGGAGGGAGTGGCGGAAGTGGGGTAGAAGGGAGAGTAAGGAGGGAGAGAGTGGGAGATAGAGCAGGGGAAGGGAGAAGAGGGAGGGAGGGAGCGAGAGTGAGAGCAGGGGAGTGGGGAGAGTGGAGGAAGGAGGGAGGAGTGGCGAGAGGAAGGAGGTAGGAGGGAGGAAGGGAGTAAGAGTGGGTGGGAAAGGAGCTGGAGGGAGGGAGGAAGATTGGGAGTAGAGGGGAGAGTAGGAGGGATGAAGGAGGTAGGAGGAAGGGGAAGGACTAAGGATGGGAGGGAGGAGGTAGAAGGGAGAGAGGAGGAAATAGGTGGGAGGGAGGGAGGGAGTGGGGAGAGAGGAGGGAGGGACGAAGGAGGATGGGACGGAAGAGAGAGG